ATATATATTTGGTAGTGAATACAGACTCACGTAATGAAAACATAGAAGTGTTCCTTAATTTCAGCACCCAGAAAAAAACACTGGCATATTCACTGCCATTTATATGTACACTAGAGGCCCAATGCACGAAATTCGTGCAAGAGTAGTCCTTCCTTACCCCAGCTGCCAGCACCAGCTTCCTTCTGGCACCCGGAACCTGGGCTTCCCTCCGGCCTCCAGCAAGCACCCGAGACCCGGGCTTCCCTCACGGCCCCGGCTTCATCCAGAAGGTCATCCAGAAGGATGTCTGGAAGGATGTCCAGTCTAATGAGCATATCATGCTTTTATTATAGATATCTAATAAAGTTGGGATTATATTTGTACACTGCTTTGTATCCTGTTTTTTGTTTTAATAACATTAATATTGTAAGCAGTGAATTTTAAAGGCTGTGTAGTTTTCTTATTATATGGTTTTTCCACAATTCATTATATCGGTTTTTGTTTTTGTGGTAATTTTAGTTTGCTTCTCTTTTTTGTACTTTTCCCCTGCCTCTTTCTTAGGTTTCTTTTCACACCTGCCCTTTAGGTTGTGGTGCTCTCCTGATTTTCCTTTCACGGCCCCTGAGTCTCCCACAGGTACCTGAAACAGATGTAACAAGGATAAATAAACTACATGTTTCCCTTAAGGGGTGTCAAGTGGGCAGAAAAGGGTGGTAGATAAGGGCAATAATCCTAATGAAATCCTGTGCAGCCTGCAAGCCTGTGTGCCTTCCTTCCTTAACTCTCCAGCCCTCCTTTTCCTCCTAGTTCCCTTAATGTAAACCTGCTTCTTTATCTTCCTTACTCTTAAATTTACACACGAATGATACCCCTTAGTGGAAGAAAAAGGAACTTCTTCCAGTGCTGATCAGTCACAGCCAAAATTACTGTATTTTCTTGTGCATGTAAACAAATGATCATTGTTATACATTACTGCACCACTGATAGGTGCTTTTCTGAATTCTAGTAAATACGAACTTTACTTCTGATTTATTGTCACTTCCAAGGCACCTTAATCTTCCTTTGAATGTTTTAGGGAAAAGAAAACAGACTAAATATGCTTCCTTTCTATAGGAATTTATATATTTTGAGAAATTGAGTAAGGATACTTAGTGCTTATTTTACTTTAAGATTATAATGTCTGTATAATAGACATCTACTCCAGCTTTTGGAGTTATAATTTAATCTTGTAACGTAAAATTCACTTTTGTAGTCTGATATGTAATTGCTATAGCCAATCTAGAAATGCTTATTGAATGACTAGAATGTCAGTGTAGATCCTTGAAAGCCTAACTGCTTTAAAAAAACAAAACAAGCAAACAAATTGTTGTTGTGAAGGAAAGAGTATAACCACATTAAATACAATCTGGAAAATAAGAGGCAAAAGTCCTACTCTTAATCTCACTTAACAAAATTGCTCATAGAATTTTCATATATTTGGTTGTTTTCAAATTTGTGTTTATGTGGTTTAAATGTGTCCTGCTTTTTTCCCACTGAATATGTCATTTTATGACTATTATTTAAAATGGCTGCATACTAATCTGTTAGTTGCATGACCCTGTTGTATGCACAATGTTAATATAGAAGAGTGTTTCTAAAATATATATATATATATGACTCTTAAGAAAAAATAGTTATTCTAATAAAATAAAATTGTTTAGCACATGGGTTTTAATAAGTAGGCAAACGATAACCTTCTTATTTAAGGTCAGTGCCTTTTTGTTTTCAAACATATGAACCTGAAACTTGAGAAAGTTGGTCGTCAGGTGAGAGTAATATGTCAGCTATGTATTTTGGAGAAGTTATCAATAGAAGTTAGTTGCTTATTCAAAGAATTATTGTCATAAGTCTTATGTTACATTGTGTTCTTTTATAGATTATGGAGCTTTGTGGTGCAACAAGACTTGGTTATTTTGGAAGAAGTCAGTTCTATATTGCTTTGAAACTTGTAGCTGTTGCCCAGTCTGGTTTCCCTTTAAGAGTGGAAAGTATTAATACAGGTAAATATGTGACACATTAGTAATTGAAATGAAAATAGACTTCAAGTCACAAATGAAGTTGAGTCTTTCTGATATTACAGTGGCATTTGTGACCTTGAGAAAAGTGTCATGACTTTATTCTCCCCACCTTGCTATTTAAAATTTGTGAATATTGGAACACATTTATATCTATTTTAAGTGTTATGGCATATATGTACTTCTTGCATATTTGATTATATAAATCTGTTAAAATGGTGATTGTTATAGCATAAATTTACTAAGACTTGTTTAGAATTTAGGTAAGTAATTTTATCAAAGTAAAGGGTGCATTGCAGTGACCCTGATATATGCTTTCTTTATATATTTTTCTAAGTATAAAGCAACATTATACTTTCTTTTCTTGTTTGTGAAAACTGAACGCTCCATGTAAAATTAGAAAGCATTAGTTAACCAAAACTTTCTGGTTGATAGAGATACTGTTAAAATATTGGCAGATTAAAACCTAGTTATAGGCATCTGACTGCCTTATACGTATCACCTAGGAAAATTTGTTTTTCTATTATTTGGAGGTGTGTTGATAATGAAGTAGATGGAAATTTTATAAGGTAGGCACTTAAATGCAGAGAGTTTTGTGATTTTCATAGGGAAAAGAGGAAAGAGAGAACTGCATTTTCTGTAATGTTAGGATTTTTATACAGTAGTATTAGTACCAGCTTAGTTTTAAGTGCTCAGTGTTTAATGCCAGCTTAGTTGGAGGTTTTCATTGTGGACCCCTAGTGTGACGCACGTCCTTCTCCTCGTGTTGAGAGTTTACATTCTTTTCAGGTAATTTTGAGTACTTTGCATAAACACTGAATAAACTTCATTTCCTCATTAGTGTGGAAATTCTAAGGGAGATTCAGGGAATTATAGTGGAAGGAAGTACATTTTCTTCTGAAAATGATTCTGCTATGTTATTCTGGTCTAGACTGACCTACGGAATTCTTAGTTTTTTATTTTTCTTCTTTATTTAAAACAGAATGTAGAGTATCTGCCTGTAGGAGTAAAGTAAGCCAGACTAAAGTTGGTAGATTGAGCTGCTTGTACTGTGTCTTTGGTAGGTGAACAGTAAGGTATTTTCAGGAATTTCTGCCATGAAAATGTTTGGATTAATCTAGTCTCAAACTTAGTGACATATTCTGTGTTTTACTTAGAACTCGAACATCTTACTTTAGAAAATTAGTGTGAGTAGAAACAGCATAGGCTTTGGGGTCAGACCGACCTGGGTTTAGATTTTGTCACTTACTGTCAATGAGCTTCAGTTTGCTTACCTGTAAAATAGGGACTTTGCAGGGTTGATATGGTTATGAGTGCAAACATAGGACCAGACATGCAATGGACATTTAATACAGCTATTTTTATAACCCCTTGGAAGGACAATTTGGTATTACTATTTCTTTCTAGGTTAGGGTCTCCCTAAACAATTTAAGGAAGAGGATGAATTAAATTTCGTAGTGATAGACATTTTGTTTCTGTTGTTTATGTATCAGTTTTGCAAAAATTCTTTCTAATATCTAATTCACCTCTTCAGGTTTTAATGTGTGCATCTTTTTTTATTTTAAAGTAATAATTATTTTTGCCATTAATAGTAAAGGACCTTCCTCTGCCAAGATTTGTTGCTTCAAAGAATGAACAAGAGTCTCGCCATGCAGCCTCATATTCTTCAGATTCTGAAAATCAAGGGTCTTATTCTGGTGTTATTCCTCCACCACCTGGAAGGGGGCAAGTGAAAAAGGGGTCCGTAAGCCATGATACTGTCCAGTCTCGTACATCTACAGATCAACAGGTAGTCACGTGCATGTCAGTATTATCAGTTAACATCCTGTGTAGATGTTTACACTAAAACTTTTACTGAATGCCTTAACAGTGAAAATACTATCTTAAAATTAAAATTTAAAAATAATGATACTCTTTCTAGGAGCCTGCATCTCCAGTAGTTTCACCACAGCAGTCCCCACCAGCGTCTCCACACACATGGAGGAAACACAACCGTCACCCCAGTGGAGGAAATGGTGAGAGGCCTCTTGCAGGACCTGGGCCATTTTGGTCTCCCTTTGGTGACGCACAATCAGGTATTTAGAAGTTCTAAATGTAACAGTCATTTATTAAAGGTGTAAATTGAAGGAAACTTGATAACATTCCTTTAAGAGTTGCCTCCAAGAAAATTTTAATTATAAGTTAAGTGCCTTAAATGGAAGCAAATGCCAACTGTGAAAATTTATAAGTAGATGTATCACTTTGGTAATACATTGGTAATTGCATTTATTTATATCTATGATGCTTAGATAAAAGTTTATAGATACCAGATTCTCTGAAGGTAAAATGAATAAGTGATTATTTCCTAGAATATTATGAGATAATTTTCAATTGACAAAATATTTCATTTTGGAAATTAACATTTCTACAAAGTTAGAACTCGAAAGAAAACTTATATAATATGTGTATTGTGAATTGTTACAATAAAAAACCAGATAACTTTATATTCTTTAAAAGTGAGTCAGCATGTTTGCCCGTTCTGCTTGTAGGTTCTGCTGCTGGTGATGCAATGTGGTCAGGGCATTCTCCACCTCCACCTCAAGAAAACTGGGTCAGTTTTGCAGATACTCCACCAACCAGTACTCTTTTAACCATGCATCCTGCTTCTGTCCAGGTGTGACATTTTATTGGTATTGCATTTTTATTTGCTTCATTCAAAATACTGCTGCAGTCATTATTTTATATTTTGCTGTTGCGAATTTTATGAATGTAAATTCACTTTTATTTAAAAACCACAAAACAAACAAACAAAAACCAGAACTCCACTCTATGCCTTTTCTTTAAGTCTGTTATCATTGAAATGTTTCACTAAAAGTTTTGACTGATTTTCTTTCTAATTTCTTAGTGAACTTTTGAAAGGTTTTGGCATCTAGGAATATATTTGCTTGGCTTTCTTGGCACATTTTCATAACTTTCTGTTGCTTACACATTGCTGTCATTCTATACATTTATATAATCATTGTCCAAAAACATTCAGTAACCTGATTATAAGTATGTGGTTTGCTGATGAGTTTGTGAAGACTTCTTATATTTTAAACATCCACAAAAAGTAAGTTTTACTTTCAAAGATAAATAACCTAGCAATCTTGGTCCATGTAATCATATAGATAGATACTGTACTGAGGAAAAAATGTTTCATTACAGGACCAGACAACAGTACGAACTGTAGCTTCAGCTACAACTGCCAATGAAATTCGTAGGCAATCCAGTAGCTATGATGATCCCTGGAAAATAACAGATGAACAAAGACAGTATTATGTAAATCAGTTTAAAACCATTCAGCCTGATCTAAACGGATTTATTCCAGGTGAGTTGTTAAAAAACAAATTTTTCTAGATGGGACAGTTCAAAGTCTCAGTTTCATAATCTCAAAGACATGGTTTTATTGGTCAGAGATTATAAAAGATAATTAATTCTCAAATTGTCTAAAAAGAGTTTATAATTACTAGAGACCAAAAACATGACATATACACATGTTAAGGTTACCTTTTTTTTCAATGAAAAAGGTCTTAAGACCACATTTGATTCTTGGGTCTGTAGGTTCAGAATAATGCTAAACAACACTGTTTTAATATTTCAGGATCTGCAGCTAAAGAGTTTTTTACAAAATCAAAGCTTCCTATTCTTGAACTTTCTCATATTTGGTAAGTGTGGTGTATATTAGTTGGGTAATGTGGGTTATTTCAAAGGAGTTTCCAGCAGGTAGATTTTTTTTAACCTTAAAAATAAACTATTAGAATAACCTTTTAAAGAATGTTCTTATAACTCAGTATTGTCTTAAAATAGTCAGATTCTCTCTCACTCTCTAGAGAAGAAATAAAGTGATACCAGTAGAGTAGTTCTTTAAAAAGTGCTAAAAGTCTTTAAGCTATAGTAGCTGTTTCTTATTGCTAGTATAATGCATGGAATAAAAGCTAGTTTGCTCATACATGGTTGTATTTATTCCATTTGGTTTTAAACAAATTTAGTAAGTCCTATACCAACCATGAGCTTAAGAACAGTGCTTACATGCATATAAGCATAACCAGTGGACACAAGACACTGGGGGGTAGGGGAGGGTGGGGGAAGGTCAAGGGGAAAAAAAAAAGGAGACATATGTAATACTCTTTGTAATACTTTAAGCAATAAAACAAAATTAAAAAAAAAAAGAACAGTGCTTAACACTCATTTAAATACCAACTGAAGACTCAGGATGGTTGCTGTGTGGTTGGAATCAGTCATTAAATTACAATCACAAATTACTTTTAAAAAACAATTGTCAGATAAACTTAAGTATTGTTTCCACTTTATATCTACATATTTCTCTATATTCTAAATTTTATTAATAGGGTTTTTAGTAGCATAGAGTGCTATAGTAGGAGATAGGTAGATAATGCCTAAAACCAAAATGTTAAGAACTAGCAATATATACATGCTATTTATAGTTTAAGGTGATAAATTAAAAAAAATGGTTGTTCCTGCATCTAGGAAATGGAAGGATAGCAGGGTGGGGCTGCTGTCTTTTTGTATCAAGCCTTGTAATTGTTTTGGATTCTTTAAAATACATACATATAAACTTTTAATAACAATAAAAACAAAGTTTTAAAAATTTTTAGTGACTTCTTAAAAAAGCCTGATTTCAACTAAGTCCTGTACCTAAAGATACATATGGTTAAAGGCCATTTCTTTGGTGACCTTATTTTTGGGGGGCTCTTTTTTCAGCATTTTATTATGAAAATTTCAAGCTCTTAGAAAAGTTGAAAGAATTGTGCCTTAAACCACCCACATGGCCATTGCCTGTAATCTACAGATATCCGTTTGCTATATTCACTTTGTTACACATCTTCCCATCTATGGGATTTTTTAAATTATTGATTGCTTGCACTTTTTCTGAAAAAGGATTTCTCTTTTTCTTTTTTTCTGAGACATAAAGGGATCCAAAGTAGAATAGGATTCCATTTCTGATGTTTTTCTTTTAGGGAACTCTCAGACTTTGATAAAGATGGAGCATTAACACTGGATGAGTTTTGTGCTGCTTTTCATCTGGTAGTTGCTAGGAAGAATGGCTATGACTTACCAGAAAAACTCCCTGAAAGCTTAATGCCCAAGCTGATTGATTTGGAAGACTCAGCAGGTAAGATCCAGGAGCTTGAAGAGACCTGATTGCGTGCCTTGACAAATAACACTTGGTTCTCAAAGCACAATCTAGATGTTAAAACTTAGCTTAAAAGCATAAGCATTTCATCAAGGGCATGTACATTTGCCATTAGAATAAGATGTACAGCCTGAACTGGATCAATATTTTGTCCTTTTAGTCAACTGTAAACAAAGATAAAGACTATATGCCACTATTTTATTTTACACTTGTGACCTGCTGAGATTTGAAGAGCATTTCACAGTGTCTTGGTATTTTGTCATTCTTTAATTACATTTTATATTGTCTGAAGTGGGGAAAGTAGCCTGTCTTCATTATCAACATTTTTCCATTTAATGCATCTTAATTTGTTGAAGGGAAATACCTGGTTTATCATTAGACCTTTGCAGTCTGCAAGCATTTTCCTTTTAAAAAGCCAATTTCTTCAGATGCTAAAGAAATCTGGAAATTTTGTGTTTGATGTAGATAATACTACATTGTTGTCATGTTTACAAGAATGCTTTTATAAATGCTCATATTTACAGATAGTTTTATTTTAAAAGAAATAGAATATAGGGGCTAAAAAATGAGTACTTTCTTTAAAATTCTGAATGAATAAAAGGAAATCTAATGTTAAATTAATGAGTCTAATTAAAACTAAATTACTGTCTTTGGTTTTTCTATCTAAATTCTTTTTTAGATATTATGATGGAAGGAATTTTATACTTTTTAAAAGAGAAGTTAAAACAGAATTTGGCTCTCAAGAGGGTATTCATCTATTGGGCAGCTTCTGTTTAACCCAGAATTGCATATGATCTGACTTTATTGTGTAAATTATGTAGTAGGAATCATATGCATATTATTATTGTCAAAAAGAGGACTATCTCCTTAGATTCAAGAATCTGTGTGCTGCTAGTTTTGCTAATTATTCCTGTGACCTTGGGCAAGTTCTTTTTGTTTTTCTACCTGAAATGTGTATTTGATGCTATTCACATTTCAGGGCCTGAACACACTGACCTTTTATCAACCAATAAGTCTATTTAAAATTTTAGGGTTGGTTTTAGTTTTTTAGAACCATTATCCTATGAGAATCCTAGAGTTTTCCTGATCATTTTAGGCAGTTATTAGGTATCAGTTAACCTCTGACTTGAGCTAAAAGCTTAGTATTTTTGTTGGGTAATTTTGCTTCAAAGTACTTTGATTTACCTAATTAAAAAATAAACAAAAAGAACTTCATTTGGTTTATTTCATAGTAGCCAAAAGGGAAGAAATTGTGGTAGCCACATATTTACTGTGCCATTGATTTTAAAATTAGGCCTTGTGTCTAGAGTTTTTCTATGACTTTAATCCTTTAAAAACTGACAGCATAGTATAACTTAAATCAAGCTTATTCTGTTGTGTGTCATTTTCTTGAGACTTGTCTGATTCTGTTATCTGTTGCATATAGATGGGTGAATCTGGCTTTTGCATGTAGTCTTTTTTTCCTCTCTTTTATTTAATTTAAATAAAATCTGGGATTCTTTGTAAACTTGATCTACTGCCTGAATTTTAAGGCTAATGATTTAAGTCGAAGTTCTTTTCTGGGCATTTTTCTTTTTACTCCTGTTAGATCTGTTTAGCACAGAGTTACTCTTATTTTCCCCCCTGCATACACCTCTACACTATTGTTCTAATTATAATTTTAAAGGTATCAAAGGCTCGTAGTTGTTGGGGGTTTTTTTTTTACCATTTGCACATAATCTATGTAATTTTTTGATGAAATTTATTGTAAACATTTGACCACACAATATTAACTTCGAATCTTCTTTGCCCTAACCACTAAGTGATAAATTTGGAATTTTGTTAATTTGGGGTTGGGGGAATGATTAACCTTTTTTTTTTTCTCCCAGCTATCATAAGCCTGAGATTCATATGCCACAAGTCCTTTGAATATAGAAATTGTCATGTGACACTGTGGATCAATCAAGATCTGTAAAAATCCTTTTAAATAGCTGTGTTTTTAGAAGTTCACAGTTGAAGGGGAAACCACCCAAGCAGTTCCTTTTGGCTGACCTAAAAATTGATCATAAATATTTCCTCTATGGAGCTTTTCTGACTTTCAGACAAAAGTAGTTACTATCTTCTCTGATCTCTCATAGTATCCTATGCGCTGTTTATTGTGGCACCTATCACACTGTTCTTTTTTTTTCTTTCTCTTTCCACCACTACATTCTGAGTTAATTTTAAAAAAAAGAAAAAAGGAAATGTGTCATATTCACTGTAGTATCCCCAGGCTCTAGCACTTTGCAGGCATGTGCTCAGTTGCTCAGTAAATAACTGCTGAGTGAATTAATGCTAAATGTGTGCCATTTTTAAAGTAGGATATTTTTCTTAACATATTTCTGTCTTTGAAAATATAGTCTTTTGTTATATGTTTGTAATGTTGGGACATACTAAAATATTCACTCTATAAGTATTTTGTATTTACAATTTAATAACTCATAGAAAAATAGATGGTGAAAGTGATTACTTGAGTTACAGTTGTTTGGAGAAACGAGCTAGGCTTTGTAAAAGCATACAAACATGGGTGGGATAGATACATATTTTTTCCAAAATTATTTGAACAAGTTTATGGTATTAAATAGATAAAATAAAATTGCTAAGGGTCATAGGTATAAGTACGTACACAGACCTGAATTAAAATACTTATATTTAACATCAGCACTAAATATGGCAACTAAAGTAAATAGAAAGGAAAACTTGATTTTTGTTGTCTTACAAAAGAAAGCATATAAAAGTTCATCTGTGGAAACAGTTTTCTGAACCTGAATTCAAGAAAGAATGTTTATCTTCCAAGAATTGTTACCTTCTTTAAAATAAAAAAGGGTTAAGGTGACCTGCTAGCCTACCACAATAGTGTATCATAAAGGGAAAAAAAGCATGTTAAGATGCTTTGCATCTTAATTTCAGTCTCCAAAGAATCTTTGTTGTAGCACAGTTGCAATTTTACATACACTGTATTTTATGTGATTACTAGAGGCCCGGTGCACGCATTCGTACACCCGTGGGGTCCCTCGGTCTGGCCTGCGCCCTGTCGTAGTCCAGGACCCCCCGGGGGATGTCGGACTGCCAGTTTCGGCCTGATCCCTTCAGGCCAGGCTGAGGGACCCCACTAATGCACGAATCCCTCTGAGATTCATCAGTCTGTTCCATGTTTCCATGCCTGGGTATTGAGCATCTGCCCCCTGGTGGTCAGTGCATGCCATAGCTAATGGTCAAACGGTAGAACGGTCACTTAGGCTTTTATATATATACATTTGATAGACTAGTGCCCCGGTGCACAGATTATGCACATTGAAAGGAAATTAATTGAAAGGTAGCCAGTGGGGTGGGACTGGGCGAGACGGGCCACACATGCCCTGGAGCCAACCTCCCGCGGTCCCTCCCCAGCCAGCCGCACCTGGGGCAGCACTGTGGCTCGAAGGGCATCTGTGGAGGGAGCAGGGTCCCTCAAGTAGGTAGGGTCCCTTGGCCTGGCTTGCGGGGATTGGGCTGAAACCGGCTCCCTGACATCCCCAGAGGAGTCCCGGATTGCAAGAGGGAGGTTCTCGGGTGACCCACCCCGGAATCGGGCTCCCTCTTCTCTGGTTCTGGGGTGCGTCACCTGAGAACCACCGCTGCCACGTCAGTGCAGCTCGGCAGCTCCTGCATTGAGCGTCTGCCCCCTGGTGGTCATTGCACGTCATAGCTACCGGTCAGACGGTCGCCTAGCCTTTTATATATAAATATCTCTCTCTCAAGCTACACTAGAGGCTCTTGGGTGGGCAGTAACTAGATTGGTCTTGTTCATTTTATCTCAGCACCTAGAGCAGTGGTCGGCAAACTGCGGCTCTTTGGCCCCTTGAGTGTGGCTCTTCCACAAAATACCACGTGTGGGCACGCACGTACAGTGCGATTAAAACTTCGTGGCCCATGCGCAGAAGTCGATATTTTGTGGAA